ACTTAAATATGAGTAAAATGGGGATCCAAACTGGATATCTTTATTACACAAAGTTGTATTTGAGGTTTTCCCATGGTGCCTGAATGAAAACTCTGGACTTTCATCTCAGAGTGGCTGTTCTGAAAAAACATAAAACATCCCAAAGAATTACCAGGTAAGTAGTCTATAAGAGATTTCCAGTTGGAAAGAGGCAGCTTTTAGATCAACTTCCGTGCTTCCATCTGAGCTGTTCCTTTCTGCTGGGTTTCTTCCTTCGTGTGCCAGGACCACTTCCGTGGTCCAGCCCAGGCACGTGCAGCAGCCTTCCTTCAAACCCAGCCCACGCAGCACCAAAGCAAAGGCTTTACCGGTATTCCCTTTGACTCAACTGCAACAGAATATATTTTCACAGGGAGTTTTTCTAAATATAAGTAAAAGGGTCGGGAGGGGGGATGAATTAAAAAACTTTTCAAGCAGCCCAAAACCAATACAACTTATGAAAAGCAGATCTATAATTTTATTGCTAGTGGATTAACCCACCAAATTTATAATTCCAAGATCCATCCCTCATATTCTATGAGAAGCCAGTGCTAGGAACTCAACTTTTGTTCCTAGACTCTTACTCTCCCATTGCTTCCTCCTACTGTTGGGGGGAAATTCTCCACAGGTCTCTTGTATTTCTGTACATCTTGTGAGCAGAAGCACTGGCTGCCTTTTTCCCTATCTTTTCATGGACATCTATATAGCAAACAGCCTTGGAAGACAGAGAAAGTGCCCCCCTCTGAGCAAAAGCAGGCACGTTACAGTCCATTACAAAAGATTTGGGTTCCTTTAAACTGAAGGCTCCATTCCTATCACATAACCCACTGTGTGTGCAGGTGTCATCTGGCCCTCTGCTTGCTGCCCTGTGGAACCGGGGCTCACAGAACTGATGCAGAAGGTGCTGCTCCTGCTGATGTGAGTAATAAATAGTCCTTTGCCTCCGACCCAGGAGTCTCATGTCTTCTGCCAGAAGAGATGAAACTGTGGTGGGCTAACTTGTTATTTTGTAAGTAGGGTCAAATCTTAGACCTTTCACAGTTTTTGACACCTACTTGGAAGGAAGGAGCTTGGGGGTAGAATGACAGATCCTTTGGCCCTTCTTAAAACCTGGGTGATAAAAGTAATTGTAGCTCATTCCTCAGTGAATAATAGACCATCCTTATCCAGATCCCTCTGGGCATAGAAATAATCCATTTATATACCCATTCTGTATATCCTATAAGTCTGTCTTTTCTAGGTAGCAGGATTTATAACTTAGTTATACCTCAACTAAGTCCACAAAATTAATCCATATAATAAAATTTTAAATAATAAAACAACATGATGAGAAACTATATAAACTAGGAAGGAAAGACATGATTAGCTGAGGGCAGAGTTTGTGTATAGTTAGTTTTATAAACCAAATATCTAGCACTTAATTCAATTTTTTAAAATAAATTATATTAAGTGTGCATTACTGAAGGACCAAAAAAAAAAAAAAACCTGTCCTCTCTCAATACTTCTACCAAATTTTGACTTTCCTCTCATAAACACGCTGAATTTTTAAGAGCACTTTGCAAAATTAA